TATACCAATGATTTCTTTAAATATTAACTGAACTAAATAGAATAAAACACGTATAGTGTTTATTAACACAGCGGTTTTACGTGTAAAAAAAGAAAAAGATCGAGGTAAGTTTGTGTTTTTTATGGCGTGAAAATCTTTAATATCGTGTTTTCACTCTCCGTATAGTAATCAATGTATATTCTCAATTTTACTATATACTTTTTCCAAAATTTAACACTCACTGTTATGCCGAGTGAACCGAAGCCATGATAGGCTGTTCAGTTGACGGGACTTTTATAAATAAGTTATGCACATAACACGGTGTTGGTGAGCCCGTCAATTAGCGTCCTTAGGAAGCTGGTGGCTGTATGTAAACTAAACTAAAAGCGAGCTGCTGATTTTTGAGGCACAACTTGCAATATTGCCCGACCAAGTACCGCTTATTAAACTTAGTAGTGGCAGTCCTCTAAAGCGTGTATCTACTGATTTTAAGTACCTGGTAGGTACTAAATGTCACAGTAACTTTTTTTTAAATGTAATATCAAGTGATGGCACGAACAAGTCGTGCGTCTGATTGTAAGCTACACGCCTGTCTAAAGACAGTTGCAATGTCTTTACATCGAAAAGATCTTAGGGTACTGCCACCACACTTCACCAGCGCCCTTACCCATCAAAACCCGAACACAGATATTACTGCTTGGCGGCAGAAACAGGTAAGGTAGTACGTCCCTGGTTTTTACAAATTTAATTATTTCAGAATTACATTAAACAAGTTTATGTGTTCGGTCGGCTCGAAAGAATTCTCCTGCCTGTTTGCTCGATATTTGTATGATGTATTAATTACATTAGACAAATTATTAAAAAAATATTATTAAAAACCAATACTGTAGTACCCTCTTTTCTATTAATAATCTCAGTACAGAGTACTAAAAAAACCGACCTCAAAAGTACGTGAAATTACATCGTGGAAAGTACCCAAACCCGGATTCATCCCCTAGTTCGCCACTATACGAAACTTGACACAGGAGATAATAAAAATCGGTTCTTACTACTCAAAGTATATTGAGAAAGAAATACGCCTTGAATTAGAGAATAGCAAAGTCAACCATTTAAATAATTGCTCCTTATAATAAGATTTAGGCTCTATTTATAAAAATGAATCTTCATGCATGAGCCACCCTTCGAGGTGGATGATTTTCTTCAAAATAAAATGGGATCACTATGGAAGTACCCCCTTTCCAACAAAAAAAGAATCATGAAAATCTGTTCACAATTACCGGAGTTATCGCGTAACATACATACAAAAAAAAACATACAGACGAATTGAGAACCTCCTCCTTGTTTGAAGTCGGTTAAAAATTACAAAGAGAATAGCAGCATTTGTGTGTGTGCGTGCGTGTGTTTGCGTAAAGCACATCTATAATAAGAAAGAGGTCCATAATGGATTCATTCTCTTCATAATTTAAAGTCTGCAGCCAGTCATCCCTTTTTTGTAATCGTGGGGGTAAGTCAAGTTTAAGGGGTAAATCAAGAGATTTTTATTAATGTTAGTGTACAAGTAAGATGCACGTTTGTTACATATACTAGCACTGTTATTAAATTTGTGAAATAACTTACCTAATGGTTTTTTATTGTTCCTTAGTTTCTTAGGACTATCTTCTTCAACCCCAACACTGATACTGTTATAAGAGAGATGCACGAAGCAGGTAAAATCCATTTTCATACATAATGCATGCTTATTAATGATGTGTCACATTAATTATACATATGCTATGAATTAAGTTGGTCGTGCTTTTCAGGTTTCTAATTCAATGAGTTTGCAGATTGGACGTGTTCAAGTAAAAACAACGCACATGTTGTGCCACGTAAATTATCAAAATAACATTATTTCAACTGATTAATATAATTCGATACTTAGGGAACACGAGGCGTAAAAGCCAATTTTTAACCGACTTCAAAAAAGGAGGAGGATCTCAATTCGACTGTATGTTCTTTTTTTTTGTATGTATGTTACCGATTTTCATGATTCTTTTCTTGTTGGAAAGGGGGTACTTCCATAGTGGTCCCATTTCATTTTGAAGAAAATCATCCACCTTTAAGGGTAAGATACATTTTTATAAATAGCGCCTAACTTTAATTTACGAGCAATTATTTTAGTGGTTGATTTTGCTATTTCTCCAATTCAAGGCGTTTTTCTCTCGATATACTTTGAGTAGTGAGAACCGATTTTTATTATCTCCAGTGTCAAGTCCTGTATAGTGGCGAACTAGGGGATATTTCAATACAACTTAGCAAATAGACGTAATTCCACGTACTTTTGAGGTCGGTTTTTTTAGTACTCTGTACTGAGATTATATGAACACTTAATTATCGAAGTACTTGGTTCTATTTTCATGAGCCTTCTGTCAGTCTGCTCAAAGTAATATTGTTCGTAGGAAATGAACTTATTTTTCCGGATTTAAATCGCGTATATTTATTTTTTGAAACAAACTAGCTTTTCGGGCCCTTTACAGGTCCCATGGTCACGGTGGACTGGACCTAAACATGGGAGCAAAAAACAAATATACGCGATTTAAATCCGGAAAAATAGTTTCATTTCCTATGTGTAACAATCGCGAAAATCTAAGAACTCGATAATATTGTTTGTTCTTCGCAAAAAATGGTGTTCTTACCTATCAATAGTTACATAAAGAAAAAAAAACATTTTGTATTTCATTCGTCCTTCAAAGCTTGTACTTAGTTTGCTTTTGGTCAATAAACTTTGTTAAATACCGACACTCGGTTGTCTCTCAACGGAGTTCTTTTGACCTAAGTCCGACTTTTCGTAATATATCTGTCGCAGCCGTATTGCTTATAGCGCCGTATTACATTAAGGCCGCTTTGCAAAACGGCTCTGTTTTCTAAGGGCGCATTTATTCGATACGAATTTCATCGAAGAGTGGAGTCCGCATTGCCGCAGCCGCGCAGCGACCGCGTGCGTCTGAGGGTCGTATTCCAGAACTCTACTCAATACTCAAGTCGGGACTTGAGCGTTGCAGTGAGCACTGAAAATCATACTCAAGGCCTTGCCATTAGGGTCGTATTTCCAGTGCTTGAAATCACACTCAAGTCAAGAAATTCGGTTGGAGCGCCAGACGAACGTATTTTATTCAGTTGGTTTTAAGGGTTTATATGGGGTGTTTGTGTTTCGTTATAATGTAATGGATCCATTAAAAATAGTATGCATTTATGAAGCATTAGAAGACGATGTTCGAAAAAGAAGTTCGCGACTATAGACGATTGGAGTCGAACCCATGGCCTTACGGTCAATACTAACAAGCCGCAGGCCATCGTCGTTGGAGGCTCGAAGCAAATCGCCAAATTAAATAATGCCACTATTCCCCCGCTTTTTATCAACTCCTTCCCTCTGCCTTATAGTAATGTTGTCAAAAATCTTGGCGTTCTTTTTGACTCCACTCTGTCTTGGTCGCCACATATCGCTGAGGTGAGTAGGAGGGTGTTTGCTGTCTCTGGGTCATTGCGGCGTTGGAATAATCTGCTTCCTGTGAGGACTAGGGTTGATCTTGCGCAATCGTTGCTCTAACCTATTCTTGATTACGCTGATGTCTGTTTCATTGACCCTAACGAGGATCTGTTAAGCAAACTCCAGCATCTACGGAATCTTTGCATCAGACTCATATACGGATTGCGCAAGTTCGATTATGTGGCCGAATTTAGGAGAAGGCTTCAGTGGCTCCCTATCAAGTTGCGCCGCGAGTTTCTTTATAATGTTCTATACGACTCTCGTACTCCGCCATACCTTAAGGTTCGTTTTCGCTTCACTACCATGATCACTACCGTGAACTAAGGTCTAAAATGGATAACCTACTGAAGCCTCCTTTCACTCGCTCCGAGTATTACAAAAATTCCTTTACGATTAAGGCTGCAAAATTGTGGAACGATCTCCCATTTGAAATCCGACATTCTAAGTCGCTACCTATTTTCAAAACCGGATTGCGTAAATATCTTTTATCACAGTCCTAGTCTGCAACGTGTGTATTAGTAAGTATAAGTTTATTTAGGTATATTTATATATACATATATCTACGTAGGTATAATATATAATTATTTATGAAATATTTTATAACTTACTATGAGTCTTTATTTAATATTTTTATTGTTTTTTTTTCGATTTATACAATTTATTTTTTATACAGTTGGCACACACGTCTCCCGCTCCGATTAGTTTTTCTCTAACTCTAAGGTTGTCTGGAAGAGATCGCTCTTAGCGATAAGACCGCCTTTGCCCACATTAGTTTTAAGTTGTTTATGTACTTACTATTCTTGTTCTTGTGTGTGAGCAATAAAGTGTTTATCTATCTATCTATCTATCTATCTATCTATCTGGGTACATCCACTCAATATGAAAGGATTAAAGTGTGGGCAGTTTCATAATATTATATACAAGTTTATGTGAACATCCAGATCAATTTGTTAAGTACTATTTGTTAAGTATATATATACCTTATGCCAATAAATGTTTTTCAAGAATTATGTTCAACCTCGGTGATAAATTTTTCCGTATCGAACATTTTTGCAAGAAACGCCTATATTGTGACCCCTTCCCTCACCCTTACCTCCACTCGCGCCAGCGATACGTACGATGCGACCGAAAGTCAGTCGTCATTACCGGGCCCGTGAGTTGGCAGATAATTCATTTTGCGTCTTCGTGTGAAACAAACCGTGCTTTTATATGAAACGGAATGCAGCGCAAACTGCGCAACTCAAAAAACGCAACTCACAAAATTACGCTCGTCTGGCCTCACACTAACTGTCATGGCGGAAGGAATAGGCAATATTTGTTTAGCTTTTACGTTTTAACTTAAATGAGCGTCTCGGGCGAGCCTGGGGGGTCTACTCTCGATCTCCGTCCGAAACAATTACTGCCAAATAAGCAATACTTGACCAAATGAAAAGACGCGTGATGCGAATGAAGCTTCATACTGGATACTTGTCTTTTAATTTTGTCGAATATTACTTATTTGACAGTAATTGTTTCGGACGGATGTCGGAAGGAGATCGAGAGTAGACCCCCTGGCTTGTCTTTGGTCTACGCGGTGGCCCGCGCGGTTGTATTATTGAGAGGAATTTGAATGTTGTTGCCTAGTAAACAAAATTCAGATTCGCCCTTAATGTACATGAATGCGTGGTAACTGGGCGGTCGCCGCGCGAAAACTTTCGCTTCGTGTAACTGGACGCTTATACGGTTACCTACAAAAAGTACCTACGCCGCATTGTAATAAACGTTTCACAAAGCGGCTAAGAATTGTGCAGCCAGAGTACAATAGGGAGCGTCATTGTTACGCTGTTTTGAGATACTAAGGGTCATATTCTAGAACTCTACTCAATGCTCAAGTCAGGATTGCACTGGAAACACAAGCACTGGAAATACGACCCTAACAGCAGGGACTTGAGTATGATTTTCAGTGCTCACTGCAATATTCAAGTCCTGACTTGAGCATTGAGTAGAGTTCTAGAATACGACCCTTAGTTCCACATATAACCTCCAGTAGAGCTACATTATCATAACAACAACAATTATGTCCCAAACAGCAACTGTCTAAGCAATATCAATTTTAAGAGCGGAAGAAGCAAAAATATTCGTCAAAATAGTGAATAATCAAAATAACAGAGATTTAAATTGTGACGATCTGAGAGGCCGCCCGATACCCTGAGACGTAAATTCACAAGTCCCATGTACCTGTAATTTCACCAGCACCCTTACCCTTCGAAATCGGAACGCAGTAATATGAGCATTACTGCGTTTTAGTACCTATTGGTACTACAGATGTCGCGACGAGTACCAAATAGCTATTTTTAAAACTAATTTGTTTTACATTGACAAGCTGCAATTTATCAAAGTTACTTCAATTTCTAGTGATAACCAATAATTCTACCAGATGGCGCTTATTGCTCAGATTTTTATGGACAGTGATGCAGTGCCGGCTATTCTTTTATTTTATTTGTATTAGCGCCATCTACACATATTAGGGTTAATTTATAAATTGTTTGTAACACACAATACCATCGATTGACACGCGTATTGGTGAAGGTTCAGAAAACAATTTTCCAGCTAAGACTTAATCAATATTTGAATAATATTGCAAAGAAAAAAAACTGACTTCTTATATTTCATATTAAAGAGGAATAATTGGACATATATGGCTTTTTACATAACTTTATCTAGATGTGATGGAATTTTAAGCTTTTTCATTTACGAACTGTAGTATGGAGACATTATGGAGATTAGCAGGGAGTTATTGGTCCAAGGCGTAACTGACATTTTTCGAAGAAAAAAGTTTAAATGCCAATATCTCCAAAGTTACCAAAATGCAAAACCGTTATTTATGACAAGAAGGGCAGTATTATGGTCGTATTCCAGAACTCTACTCAATGCTCAAGTCAGGACTTGAGTATGATTTAAAGCACTAAAAATTATACTCAAGTCCTGGCGTTTAGGGTCGTATTTCCAGTGCTTGAAATCATACTCAAATCCTGACTTGAGCAATGAGTAGAGTTCTGGAATACGACTCTTAGTATACTTGATTATTTAATAGTTTCATTATAAATGAAAAGAAGGTTGTGTGCTGAAATATTTATTTTTCCAATACCATATTCGATACAGATTTAGCTACGATAGACATTTAGTTATTGTCAATGATATAATTTCAAAATTTT